CTTAGGAGGGGCAATGGCATTTCTGTTCAGGCAGTACTGAGTCAATTGACTTCATGGCTCATTATGATCTGATCCCTGCTAATGTCACTTTTTTCCATATGTGTTAAGGACCCACTCTCCTTTTTAATGGTCTTGATGTTCTGCTGTCCAAAGTATCCTTGCTTCTGAATTTTGCTTCAGATAAAGTCTCTCTTCTATCTCATTGCCCTGCAGACTGTTTTTAGCTCTACCTAAAAACCTTAATTGAGATGTATTAATATTAACTCAGGACTGATGGTGAAGTACTGGAAGCACTCTCGAGACACTCAAAAAAACTAGATTTTATGTTACAAATCTGCATGCTATGTACATCTAACTATAATAACTACCAGACTAATGAAACAATCTGTTTTGACTATCCGGATCTTTGTTTTTTGGCCTAGTGTCTGCTGTCTTTTAAACTTAATGTATAATCTAGCAAATTCAGGCACATGCTGATAAAGTTATGTTTGCTTTTACTTTGATCTTGGACTGAATAATACAGTGCTTAGGTCTCAAGCCTGTTAAGAAAGTTTCTAGTCTCTCTTTTAACTAGAGAAAAATATGGGTCATGAACAAACTTCACTTCACAAACTTAATGGATACAAAAAGTCATGGGCTCAATATAGACATTGGATTTATGACACATTACAACCTGTCGGACATCTGATTCACCAGGTACCTCCAGATCTTACCATTTACACTTTTCTTTTTCCCTCTTCCTCCCCTTCCCTCCTTTTCTACTCTTTGTCTTCCTAATTTCCAGCTATTTCACAGACTGCCTCTTTTCTACCTTGACTCTCCCTTATTTACTTTTGACATTATTTCCAGCTGGTTTCCCCCCTTCCCCCCCATTGTTTCCTTAATTTCCACCTATTTACATTCTCACTGACATGCTATCACACTTTTAGTTTCTTTCATTCCTTGCAGATCTCAGGACAGCAAGGGCTCCCCATGCCTGAGTGAAGAAAGACGCTTGTGCCTGAAAGCATCCAAAGAGCTTTTTTCCAACCAATAAAAGATATCACATCTCCCCAAAGAAACTTACCTGTCATGTTCTATGTGATCAACCATGCACCTTCACCCTCCCCCCCAGTTCAAAATCCTAGATCCACCCCAGTAAGGATAGGGTGGGCCATCGAGGCACCTCAAGAACAGAGGACAGTTGCTGTCCCCACCACCATGAACCTTGCATGCCTCCCAAGGCTGTGGGGGCATGGTGAGCTCCTGCAGGTGGTGTTGGCAGTGGGGAGGTGGATGGTGTGTGGGGAGCTCCTGCAAGCAGCTGTGGCAGTGTCAGGAACAGGCCGAGCAGGGAGCTCCCACAGGTGGCCACGGTGGTGTCAGTGGTGGGCTAGGGGTGGTGCTGAGCAGTGAAAAATTGAGGACATAAAGGCATCGAGTTTCATATCAATAGAGGACAGAGGACCAGAAAACCAGACTGTCCTCTACAAAACTGGAGGAATGGCCACCCAGCAGCCTGTGCGTCACTCAGGTGTGGTGTTTGGGGCAGCATCCAGATAAACGTTGAAGTAGGGTTGCCAACTCTCGGTGAATCTGCTCCGGGAGGTTTATGAGGTTAATGACTTTACATCAGGAAGACAAACGCATGTTAAAAATCCACTGGCCTACCATCTAAATCAAATGCAATATTCACTACTTATTTTTTATGAATGCCTGAGCATTTATCTCCCAGGTGACTCTCAGCGGTCGGTCTCCTGGCGATTGGTTTCTAAACCCTGGAGGATTCAACCCTCCCTTGAAAGCAACTCCGGTGCTCCAGGGCCCGGGCGCCGCTCGGCTCGGCTCGGCTCGGCTCTCCCGCGCGCGCCGCCCGGAACCCGAGTGCTTGGCGCCGGCGCCGGGCGG